TCAAATATCTGAGTTTTAGGTTCTCATTTCCATTGGGTTGATTCCTACTACTCTCTTTATTTCATAATAGATCAAAATGTTGTTGATTTACTATTTGATAGGATTTTGTTTATTTGATTATCACTTATCATTTTTTGCGTTGATTATCACATATCTGAGTTTTAGGTGTGTAATAATTTTTTTCTGGGCTGATTGATCCATAGTTTTGAACAGTATTTGTGCAGATCGATATGTTGGTTATAACCCATGTTTGAAACTACACTGGGCGCTAGTCGGGCGGCAAGTCCGGACCTAGCGAATTATCAAAAAATCAGGGATTAAGCGAGGTATACACGGGGATTAATTTTTACATTTTTTAATTATAAATATATGTATATATATTAATACATGTAGCAATTAGACAGAGACATAACATAGTCTAGTGGTTCGTTGCGCATTTGTTGATTCCTATAGCCCAATGTTTCCTATGTTTTTAATAATGTGCGATAGTTAAAAAAATTTAAAAAACCAGTTGCATTTGTTCTACTTCGGTTAAACTTGACAAAGAGCAAGCTTGAAGTCTCCTATAAATACAAGGACAAGGTATCATCGTTATGTAGTCAAATAGGTTATATGGGAAAAAAATTTGTCAATTTAGTCCAATATTAATGGTTCATATCGGTTTTAAGCCGATTAGTCGATTAATTCAACGATTAATTGGTTTATAAAGCAATTAATTGGGTTTCGATTTGCCTAAAATCGCGGGCGGCCGCTTTTTAGAACCCTGGTTATAACAGAGTAACCTGTTTTTTTATCAATCTATATATATGTCATAATGTTCTTATTTTTGATTGATCCCCAATTTTGTAGTTGCATGTATAAGATTATGTGTTGGAGATTCATTGATTGTTACTTTACGTAAAATTTTGACTTTACTAATCGACTCTCCCATTTTCCAACATGATGCCGGCATTCAATCTTCAGATTCTTCAAGCTTTGATGACGAGGTTCTCTTAGAGATCATCTAGCACTCCACTGATTGACTCCTCTACTTGGATGAGTGGAACTATGTCCTCTACGCGGTGAGGCACCCTAAAGCCGACATCGAGTTACAATATTTGATACCATACTAATAAAGTATTTTAATTTTTGTATTATTCAATTCATTAATTTCATAATTCTATTTAAATATTGTGTTATTCAATATTAGTGGATTTCTTGGTAACTATATTTGGAAAAGAATCAGCGTAAAATTTATTATAAGTGTAAAAAACCAATTAAGTTCAAGATAGAATTTGAAGAATTTTTTTACATCATTTATTCATTATATATGTACCTCAAAGTTATTGATACAGTATAGAATATGATATCTGTTATCAATAAAAAATATTATCGCTTACACAAATGACAAAGATATATAATGTTTTGCAATCCATATTACAATGGAAAATGCACTTTTTATATTTTGATATAGTCTTATCTCTAGATCTTTATATAGTGATATAAAAATTTTGACGTTTTATTATTTTGTGCTAGTAGATATAGTGTTTCCTTTTTAAACCACAATTCATTTCAATATGCTTTCATTTCTACTTTTTAAAATGATTTTCTCTATCTATATGGTATGGAAATAATTATGGATCCTTTCTCTATCTATATGATTTTCTCTATGCTTTCATTTCTCTATCTCTATCTAAAAAGTTGTCTTCCTTCTTTGTGCAATCTATATTATAATAGTTGAGTTTCAAGACTCCTCAGCGCGCCACATCAGCATTAGGTGGGTCCCACTTTAAAAAATGTGAAAAATTGTCAAACATATGATTCGAACCCGGGTTATTAAGAAACAAACACTAACATTCATACCACCAAACTATGGGATAACTTGTACATTGATGACCGAAACTAATATATATTTAGCCGGAAGCCTTTACATCTATGACCTCCTTTAAAGTTCGAGCCTCAAAGTGTATTATGAGTTTCATTTTTAATTGGGATTAATCACATTATATGAAGAAAATCCTCAAGTTTACAACAGTTATAGTTTTCCCATATTGTAAACTGTTAATGTTTAAAATGAGTTAAGATTCCTTTCACTATCGTCTCATACAGGTTTGAGTTACAGAGATACGCCATGTGTTTGTTCGTAATCTATTTTTTTCACCGGTGAACTCTTCATCTCCCCATCTTACATCGCTTGCTCATAAATGTTCTTGAATTGTATCCCCTTTGTAAATCCTATATATATATATATATGATTCTCATCTTTGATGAACCCTATCTGCATCTCCACAAAACTTATCTATTCCTCTTAACTTTAACCATCTTCTAGAAAATGTCTCTCTCTGCTTCTCCAATTCCTAAAACTAGCGTCACCGGCGTCCATCATGCAGCCTTCGAGTCTCTCTGTCATGTTAAAGTAAACATAAGCCATACCAACCAAATTAACATATAGAACCTCAAATCATTCAGTATGGGTTTTAGTAAACGAAACTAATAATAATAGAAACAAAGTCATACAACAAGTTCAAACCTTCTTATTGCAGGTTCCGAGAACACCGAATCAACATAGGTTCACTGAGTACGGAATGCGGTGGAGACAGTCTTAACTGAGGTGAGCAAATCTCTCCTCCATGTTGCTATAGATTAACCATAATTTCACAAAATAACACACTAAAAACGCAATCAGACCAAGAATCACAAGAGCTTGTCACACTGCTGAAGATGACGAGGAGAAACAAAAATGGCGAGTAAACAATCCAGTTCGAATACATTTTCATTGTGTTCGAATATAAGTCCTATACGACTAAACTTTTTAATCCACCATTTCCATTGTTAAACTACCACAAAATATTTTTGACAAATACAAAAAAACAACTATCTTAGTCATACATGTATATAATTATACGAATCATTATCATTATTAAACTACAGTTATATATTTTCAAAACATATCATGGCACATTGAAAACAACAAACTATAATTCTTTTCGGATAACAAAATTATTTTCTCTTCGTTCCCATATTATAGTTGTATATTAACAAATACCTATGTTTAGCTACATATGGTTATTAACTCACTAATAACATTAATATCCAATTAAATCGTAAAAAAAATGTAGAAATACGAACACATATGAATTTGTTAAACAATCTTATTTGTAAATAAAAACAGGTCTTTACTCACTAATAAAGATTAATCTCTCAACATTCCACACAACCCCTTAATAAACACATTTCATCTTTCTCTCTTCAATCCATTAAACTATATTTCTTTGTATAATTGAATAAAATCTTTAAAAAGAATTTAAAAATGCTAATTTACTATTTAACAATAATATACTACCAACCTACATATTAGACAATGACAACATATTAAATCACCCATCCTGGACATAAAAGCACTACTAACACAAATATTCGAAAAAATCATTACTAAAATAATATATGAATATTTCAAAGCATATGAATTTTCACTCATTCGTATATCAAGTCAATTCAGTCGGGTTTTCGGTTAAACCCTAAACAAAAAAATGTCCAAAAAAATGACAAAATTCCATCTATAAAACATCATAACACATCATCACTGTCTCCGGCTCCGCGCTTGCGCGGAGCTATGAACCTAGTTTTTACAATGATATTCACTGAAACACCTTCAGTGTTTCATTTGATTAATCCGTTATGAATATGATAGCTTAGTCAGTTCCACCTTACTCATTAAGAGGGATTGTATAGACAAATCATAATCATTGATATTATGGCCCATCCTTAAAAACCCGTAAGCATATCTTGAAAATATATTTTGATTATAAAATTAAAACTAACATGTAAAAAATCTATATTTTTATAAAATAAGATAATTCTTATGTATTATGTTGTTATCTTGAAAATAATTTTTGTATTATAAAATTAAAATTAACATGTAAAAAATCTATACTATTATTTAAAAAGTGAATTTAATGTTGATGATTTGTCATATTTTCCATGATTTTAGATAACTTTGATAATTTATTATAATTTATATAATTTTATATATAATTTATTATATATTTAAAACAAATTTATATTAATAGTATCAGATTTTAAAAAAAGTAGCATACTTCTTACGTATTATGTTGTTGTCTTGAAAATATATTTTTTTATTAGAAATTTAAAATTAAGATATAAAAAGTTGTAGTTACACTAATAATATTATAGTTTTAGAAAATAAGGTAATTCTTATGTATTATGTTGTCATCTTGAAAATATATTTTTATATTAAATAATTTAAAAGTAAAATAGAAAAAAATTATCTATTATTAATTAAATATAAATCATCACTCAAGCAAAATTATTTAGGAAGTGAATTTGCTGATTTGTTAAGTTCTCCATGATTTTACGTAATTTTAATTATATGTCATCATTTCTATAATCTTATATAATTATTAGATAATTAAAAGAAATTTATCATATTATACTTTTAGAAAATAAATAACCTATCTATTATATTTTTATTTTGAAAATATGTTTTTTATTATAAAATTTAAAATTAAGATTTAAAAATATAAATTAAGTAAAAGTATGTGTATAAATATTATAATTAAATATAAATCAAAAAAAATAATTATAGAATTCTTTTAAATATTTATGATGCTTAGTTCCGTCATTTATAATTATTTGATGTTTGATTTGTATCTTTTGAAAACATAAGTAATAAATTAATGAAAAATCAACTAATAAGTATTATTTATAAGAGAATTATGCCTGCAAATGCAGGCAAAACACCTAGTATTATATATATATACAAAGCTAACTAAGATGTTTTTTCCACTCCATACGCATAGATGATCAACAAAACATTTTTCTCACTTTTAATTAACTATTGAACTATTTTATTTCTTTCTTTGGATCAACTAACTATTTAGTTCTTGTATATAGTAAATCTTGGAAACGTTTTTCCAATCCTTGAGAAAAAAAATAATGAAGCCAATTATCCTTTGTTAGAATTTAAATCACTAAATAAATTCATAGAAACTAAAATTCACTCAATAATCATGAGTTACTAAAGCAGAATGCAACATGAATTTGGAAGCATCATCAGATTGATGACATCCCTGGAAGGTAAACACATTCTCAGACCACTCAATGGATCCCCGAATGGTCTTGTGATCGTAAATCTTAATCAAAATCTCAGCACACCAAATCTCAGTATTACATTCCATAGCATAATTAGTCTTCCACCAAACTATAACTCCCTCATCTTGGCCAGAGTTGGTCACCGAAATAAGATAATTAGAGGATATTGCTTCAAGTCCTAAAACTTTAACCCACCGAGATAAGCCACCGCAGCGTAGTTCACCATTGCTGACCATTGCTCCCAACCAAAATTTTTTGCCTGTCTCTACCAAGGATGACCTGGTGGAACTGAAAACATCTGAGGCTATGAAGCAAATCTTAGAACTGTAATAACCTTCTCGATGTCGGATATACATGGTGGCACGTTGTTGGTTGGTGTAATTGGGTAGATCGCGTGTTGTGACACTTGTGGGCTCCCACGTTTGTGTATTTGGGTCGTAAACCTCTCCATAATTCTCGGCAGAATACTTGCTGCTGCAGCCTCCAATCACATAGATCTTACCGTCCATCACCTCAACGACTGCTTCTTTTCGAGAAACACGCATGTTGGGGAGTTTACGCCATTGATGAGTTTTAAAATCGATTAGAAACACTCTTTTGCTTCTTTTCTTTCTTCCATTCACCACCAAGACTCTGCCACCGATTACGTAAGTCTCAGAACCAGTTGAGACAACACTAGAGGAGTTGAGATGTTTGTAGGAAAACGAAGGGGTTTGTATCAACTTACGTTGGGAAAGTATGAACCAGCTAGGGTTGTTGTTATTGAGGTTTAAGCAGACGTGGAGGTACTTCTCGGGTCTTCCGATGAGTGATCGTGCGGCCTCGAGGTCAGGCGAAGACAGGAGTGAACGGAAACTCTTGGAGACAAGAGATAGAATTGGATAATTGGTTCGAGAGATCCTTGCTAGAGTGTTGAAGATGATGTCGTACGGTAACGACAAAAACGACGGAGGAGACTCTGATGATGATGCATTGTCTTGGTTTTTGTTCAACGACATATCTCTTTGAGACGTTTTTGGTTTTAATTAGGGTTTTTGCACTTTGGTCTAAATTTACTATCAATTTTTATTATATAGGGGTTCCGGCTTTGGTCGGTTTAATAGATTTTCTAAATCTCTAAACTTTATTTCTATTTTTCTTAGGAAAACCTCCATAAACAAAAACAGGAAGTTATATCTATGTTTACTTTTAAAAATCCCGTAGATAAAATGGCTAGCTATGATTACAAGTTATTATTGTGAAAGCCACATAAATAAGAGTAACATATCTGCATGGCTTTCTCCATATCGGTGTCTACGTTGAAGCTCTTTTTAAGTTGTGTGGAAATGAGGTAGGAGTTCAGTGGTGCATGCAAATTGGCAAAGAGTAAATTTTTAGTTTGGAAGATTCGTTTTACATATTCGAATGTGACTCTGTATTGCAATATTAATTTAATTTTAGTTTCAAATATATTATTTTGAACATCTTAATGTGGGCTAGGCCCAAGACTTTGAGGCCCAGATAGAGTAGACGTTACCTAAGTGTTAAAACTCGAGATAGCGTTGAAGTAGTTGAGCGGCCACGACTCTGTTATAGAGAGAGATAGAAAAGTAGATCGAGAAGTTGAAACGTATGAAGATTCGGAGCTTCTGGATCGTGGCCGGAACTCTGAATATGCCGAAGTGATGGCCGTCGCAACAGAGGGTTGACTTTTGTTAGCTCTGGCTGCTAATTGGGAGGTTGAAGTTTGGGATCTTCTTGGGTCAACAGATGGCGTCCCAAAAAGGATTGGTTTTCTCTCTTCTGGCTGCAAAGTTGGGAACTTTAGATCTGAATTGAGAAAGCGTAGAAGAAGTTGACAGAGAGAGACGAAAGCAGAGGATGGATAATTTGATAAGGGGGTTGAAACGGATGAAGATTAGGAGCTTCTGGATCGTGGCCGGATCTCTGAGGATGCAGAAGAGATGGCCGTCGCAAGAAGGTTTGACTTTTGGTTGCTCTGACTGCAAATTGGGAAGTTGAAGTTTTCGGACTGGTCTCAGAGTTTTGTTGAAGAGAAAAGGATTGGCTTTTGTCTTCTGGATCCAAAGTTGGGAACTTTGGATCTGAATTGAGAAAGCCTTGACAGAGAGAGAGAAGAAAACAGAGGATCGAGGTGGATTGAAACCGACGAAGATTTGGATCTGATGGATCGGCAAAGAGATAGCCCTCTCATAAAGGTTTGATTTTTTAATTGTTTTAGCTGCAAAATTTGGGATCTTAGAGTGAACCAATTTCTGGTGATTTCTCTCCACAGGCAAAAGAGGCTGATGAGATTGCATGTAAATGAGGTGATACAATCTGTCACTAGAAAGTACTAGAGAGTTCTTACTCCGACCATCTTTGTTGCCTCTGTGTTGATTGTTTCTTTACCTTATTTCGCCTACCCTGTCTGTGTTCTGAAGCAGAGGAAATCTGATGAAGCTGAAGTCTGAGTCGTTGCAAGAACAATACCATGTATATCTAGCTTCTGTGTTCTGAAGCAGATGAAATCTAAGACACCATAGGAAAACGTTTGGATCCTCAGGGAAAAGCAGAGCACTCTCTGAATGAACGCCTCTCTCTGACCTTACCAAGATCAATGTTCTTTAGGTTTGTGCCCCTTGGACACAGTTCTTATTCATCAAACTAACGTCTTTTTTTCCAAATTCTAGCTTACCCAGTTCTTCTATTTAACTTTATTGTCTTAGAGCAGAGCAGGGCAAGTTAAGCAAGCGAGCAGCTGAAAAGAGGCATGACTATCTAGCAGCTTAGGAGGAAGCAGATAGCCTAGAAGGTTGAAGTGGAAGTCAGGGAACTCTGGAGAACTCATACGAATGAGTTACTGGAGTTGTTGCTCCACAAAGAGCTTATTCAATCAGCGAAGGTAAGGATACTTTTTGGAATGCATTGAATCGCTGATTATATTTTTCTGCTACCCCAAGAGCAAACTGCAACAACTGTTTGAACATTTTTGAAAAAGTAAATGGCTTCACTTATTTGCGATGCTCAAGTCCTTGATGTTAATGCCATCATTTCAGGAGAAGGGCTTTCAAAGAAACAAGCTGCTCAAAGAGGCTCGGATAAAGAAGCTGAGTAGGGTTAAAGTAAATGATGAATTTCTACGCCTTTCATGTTCATTAGTACCATCAACTTCATTGCTTCCTCGTCTTACCTGCTTTTTTTTTGGTTTTCGTAAAGGACAGATCACAACGCTTCAGGTAAATGATGTTACCAGCTCCGCTTTTGTTGTAGCTGCAAAGTTGGCAGTTTAGAGTCGACCTATTTCTGGTGGTTTCTCCACAGGGAAAAGACTGATGGGAAGATTGCAAAGTTAATGCATGTAGATGTGCAGCTACAATCTGTCACTGGGGATTTGAAGGTGCTCAGTCTTCCCACCATTTTCGTTTCCTCTGTGTTGATTCTGAAGCAGAGGAAATCTAAAAGGGTTTTTACTTGAATGAATTCGCTGCAGCAAAACGATGGTCAAGCATTAGCTGAAGAGCTTACCAACAATGAGTTAGAGGATGTAGTGCGGGGAATCTATGCTAGTAGAAGCCCTGGAAGAACTGAGGCGAACCTTAAGCGAAAAAGTGCAAGAGGTTTTTGTCTACTCAATCAAATTCGGGACATCTACTTGTGGGATCTCATCTGACAATGTCGGTGGCAATTTTTTTTGCAGAAGTGGTAAGAGAAGACACTTTCCGTGGAGAAAGTGAAGACCTTCAAAGACATCATAAGGTAAATCAAGACGCTTTAGGAGGTATTAATAGTATTGCTCTGCTTACTCTTTCTAAATGAACTTTTCCTGTAGGCTAGGCCTCTCCTAAGGTGTGAGGAATCACCCTTGTTCCTGAGTCTGCAAGGCCTCTCTTAAGTCAAAACAGATTGAGGCTATGCAGGTAAGAGTATCACCTTATGTTGTCTTGTTTTGTTGAGAAGTTCTCCTGAGATTAGAAACTTGTCCGAGCAGGGAAAGTTAAGCAAGGGTAGAGAAGAGACAGGGATATCTGACGGCTAAGGAGGAAGCAGATAGCCTTAGATCAGGAAAGCTGAGGAGGGCTCAGGTATATAATGAATGTGTAGGGCCTTTCATGTACATTGGTACAATCAAGCAATCTCATTGCTTCTTCTCATTCCTGCTTTATTTTGTTTGGGTGTTAGACTGGAGAGGTAGAAGAAGAGAAGTATAGACTGATCACAACGCTCCAGGTAAATGATGTTACCAGCTATGCTTTTGTTGTTTCACTAACTATGTCGTTATTTATGAAGAGTTTTCTTATCTTTTCAGAAGCTTAAATTATCTAGAAGACTAAAACTTTTACATATTTTTTCCCTCTCTTTTCATTTTGACAGTCTGAAGAGGAAATAAGGTAGAAAGATGTATAAAAAGGGCTATAGAGAAGCTGATCGGAAAAAAGGTCAAGCCGAACTTACTTATCAGAAAGGGTAAATTTTCTGTGTGTTGTTGTTAATGGTTTAATTCATCCAGAGAGCCAACCCGTAACCGTCTGAACATGTTTGAAACAGGAAAGGGCTACACTTATTTGCTCGGCTGGGATCCTTGATGTTGATGTGCCCATCATTTCAGGAAAGTTGAGGGAGGGCTCAGGTATGTAACGAATGTTCATGTTCATTGTTACCATCAGTCTCATCACTCTTCTAACTCTTTCTAAATGAACGTTTCCTGTAGGCTAGGCCTCTCCTAAGGTGTGAGGAATTAATCACCCTTGTTCCTGAGTATACAAGGCCTCTCCTAATTCAAAACAGATTTGAGGCTATGCAGGTTAGTAAGACCTACCACCTTATGTTGTTTTGTTGAGAAGTTCTCATGAGATTAGAAACTTGGAATAAAATTTGTAATGTTGCATGTTATTTATTTTTGATTCACTAAAGGAAACCAGCCAGAAGGACAGAGAAGCTTTTGGGCGACTGAATGCAGGTATTTTGATAATCACTGCTTTTTTTATGTTCTGCCATTTATGTTTATATTCTCTCATCTTTCTGTTGTTCAACTTCTTCGGATATTTAGAAAGCAGACACTAAAGATGAAACCTCTCTCAGACGTTACCAAGGTATCAATGTTCTAGAGGTCCATTGTTTACTACAGGAAAGCTGAGGAGCGATCAGGAAAGTTGTATTTTTGTTTTGTTTTTACCAACAGTAAAAAAAATTTAACTGTGACCTATTTTTTTTACTGCAGGTAAAATTGCAGTATATATAGTGGCTTCATCTTCTCTTCCGATGAGCGCAGCAACGCAGTCTTTCCAGGTTAGGTTTAGCGTTTCGATCTCTCGACTTGATTTTGGGTTTCGTTTTTTAGTATGATTTGTAATTTGTTGGGTTAATCCTGATGGATTTGGGAACTTTTTGAAACAGGTTTGAGCAGCAATTGACTAATCTAAGGTTCGTTCTTCTCTGTCGATTATCTCTCTCAGTGGGTTTGTTTTTGAATCTATTAATGGTTTAAGATTTGCGATCTCTGTGGGTTTACATCTGATGGACTTGTAACTTCTTGAAACAGATTTGAGCAGCAGCGATAGACTCTATTCACAAATCGAGGTTCGTTCTTCTCTTCGATTGGATTTAATTCCAGCCACTATAATTTTGAATATCTGTGTTTATCTTCTTCTTTTTGTTTATTAAGCCTAATTTTGAATAATATATGTGTTTGGTTATAATAAAGTAATCGCTTCTTTCATATTTATCATTGTCGATTTGTGATAATCTTCTTGTGCTGATCTGTGATGTGATGATTTTCTTCGTACATGTGATGATCTGTGATGTGAAACCCATCTTCGAAGAAGAAGATCATCACATCTCTTTTACCTTTTTGTAGTTGTTTGTATTCTCACTCGGTTCTTTCATTTTGCTCCATCTATATCCCTAAACAATGTTTTGTTCTTGCTCTTCCAACAGGACAGGATGCCTGCATTCAATCTCCAGGAGCTTGATGACGTGGCTGATGAGTACGACGATGCTCTGCGGCAGATCATCCAGCTATCCAGTGTTCGCCCCCTTGCGCTGGACGAGTGGAACTACGTCTTGGACGCGGTGAAGAGAGCTAGAGCTCAGGGCTTTGAGCTTCTCGAGTGGTTCTTCCCTCTCACCGTTGCTGGAGACATCCCTGTGTTTAGCACTGGGTTGTACAGGATGGAGACTCGGTTTGTCAGAGACAATTACCCCTGGACCCTCATCAACGGACGCTATGGGGGCTATGCTGTGCATTACATCGAGGTATATTATTTTGTTGTATCTTATATCTTGTGGTTTCTCATTTATCTTTTGAAATAAAGTGTTAATACTTATGTCGGTTGCAGAACCCTCAGGAGGACGACCATGACTGGGTGCAGACTCTGAGAGGCACTTACTGTGACCTTCCGCTGGATGGTCGGTTCCTTCGCCGTAAGGTCGGGTGGAGGACCACTGACACAGCTGGGGGTGGTGGCTGCAGCTCTAGCAGCTCAGTCAAACCCCAGGATGTCTTGGTTCACTACATGATGGTGGATGAGGCTCTGTAGGCTTCTACCTGTCTCTCAAGCTTGAGTCTCTCTAACCTTCTACATGTCTCTGTAGTGACTTTTATATTATAACCATTTTCTGCACTTTATGTTTATAACCATTTTCTGCACTTTATGTTTATAACCATTTTCTGGACTTTATGTTTATGCTTTTCGGATGTTTAACCCTTTTCTGGAATAACTTCTCATACAAGTAAAAGTAATTTTCCTTTTCTTTTTGAGTTTCTTGAGCAAAAGTAATTCTCTTAGGTTTTGACTGGTGATCACCAAATGAATAATAACGAGGAAATGAATGAAGAGGAACAAAATAATAGGAACATTTGTTCCATATTGTTCCTCCCCGGATTTGATAAGGAAGGGTTTTGTTCTTTGATTCCTTAAATTAAAAGGAATGAGAAGGAATATTGAAGAAAAAATATTCCTTATAAATGGTGCAAATTTAAGGAATGGAGAGGAATTAACTATTATGATTCCTTATAAATGGTGTCAAATTTAAGGAATAAAGATGAATTAACTATTCCCACACATTCCTTTGGTCACCAGTTAAAGCCTTAGTAAATCTCTACTACATTAGTTAGCAAACAATTATCTGATGGAAATCGTTCTAATTAGGCATAACATTTAGGTTGGTTTCTTTTTCCTGGTTTGGGTTTTAAATGCTTGAATCACTAGATACTTCGACAATATCGGGATAGATGGCAAGATTGGGTCAAATTTAGGTATTTAATACCGGAAAAAAATATTCAAAGTAGTCAAATTACATTTATCAAATTTATCTAAAAATTTTCAAAATATCAAATATAATATATTATTAATAATTAAAATAAATATTTTAAACTCTAAATTTGATATTTAAATATTTATATTACTTGAAAATATTATTAATATACCTATAAATATTACAACTAAATTATAAACTAAAATATATAAAATAGAATACATAAGAGTTATAATTTTGAATATTTTATGTTTTTGAGTTGGGACTAAAGCAATTTTATAGGATCGGGTCTATTCGGATCCAGATTTATTTGGATCGTTATTTTTCAGTTCTGATCATTTCAAATAGAAATTTTTAGATTTTAATACTAGTAAAATTTCAATTCAGTTTCAGGTAGGTCGGTTTCGATTTGGGTATTCAGCTCCGGATAAAATACCGTAGTCTAGTTTTAATCACAAACATGGAACCACAAAACAATTTAGAAGTATAGAACAAGCATGTTCCTTTGATGACAAGCCCGAAACAAAACACTTCAAATGTTTTCACATTTTTGTACAGTTAACAAGAACCCTAGTCTGATGTCGAAAAAAATACAAAAGCCCAAAGTCTCTGACGAAGTTGTTAGGTCGCTTGATCAAGCTTCTCACTTGTTTTAGCGTAGAGATTAGTTTATGTTTCAAACTCCTACTTCAAACTTTGAAATTGAGCTCAAAGTTATCCTCTAACCCAACTAAACTCGATGGCTTGTCCTGTCTCGCCGACATGGTGGGTTTCGTCTTTGAATTTACTGATACTATTGTTTTCTTTATCTTTCGCATTCCAAACTCCACTACCAATGATAGCACCAGTGGCTGTTGTTCTCATTGACAAATTCTCTGAATAAGAAACGAAACCCTAGGAAGCAATTGTGCGTTGTGTTGCTTCACGTAGACACACGCACTAGAGTCCAGACGCCTAATGAGCTCGAGAAACTAGGAAAATAAATAACATATATGTAAAATGTTTTTGTATAATAAGACTTATGCATTTTGGATAAATAACACTGGAAAGACAAATCATATGCTTGTCCCCGGTTTAGTCATATATCCCAATTTATTTAAAGAGATTTGACTTTCGGGGGAGGTATGCAATTTAGAAATTTAGAATCCAAAAGAATTGAAATTTATATTAAATGTTATGTTATTCAATTATGTATTTCATCAATTTTATAAATTTTTGTGTTATTGAATTATGTATTTGAACAATGACAAAGGTATATAATGTGTTGTAATCCATAATACAAAGAAAAAAAATTATATTCCGATATAGTACTATTATCTTTACGTCGCTATATAATGATATAAAAATAATTGATGTTTATTATTTTTTGTTAGTGGAGTTGTTATTCCTTTTTAAAATGACTTTTTCTATTTATATGATATGAAAATAATTATGATTTATTATTTTTATCAGTAAAAAGTATGTTCATTCTTTGTGCATTTTCTTATAAAGGTTCAAAAAGGTCACAAAATTTAAAGAAATTATTTTCTATCAAATTTTACTGTATTCCTTTAAAATCTAAAATAAAAGAATTAAGCAAATTTATGAAACTCCTCATCTTTCATTTAAAGTACTTCAAAATTTGTTATTTATGTCTTGAATTGAATTCTTTCACAATCAATTAAATTCTTAAATCCAACATCACCTTCTTAATTTCTTTTATTTTATTATAAAATAAAATTTATTATACTGACAAATTAACAACCGATATTTTTTTTGGTTTACCAAGATTGATGTCTAACAATTATATTTGTCTTTACTATTTTAAATTGCTTTTTGAAAATTTACACAATAGCTTTATTTACAAAACATTATACAATCTATTATATTAAAAGAGAAGTCATGACTCACTTCATGTGTGATATTTTAGTTTGAACCATCTTTAGAGTTTTATAAAATTTTACATAACATTATAATATCTTTTCATATCTTTAATTTTTGTTTGAAATACAAATAAATAGTTTGAATAAAATTCTAACAAAATCTTTTAAAAATCTTTTAGAATCTTTTTCAAGATATAGTTTCAAAAATTATTTGATTAAAATTTTAACTATCATAAAATATAATTAAAATTTTAATTCCTTTTTAATTTATAAACAAAAAATTATGTAAAATACTTTTAACAATATCCCAAAATTTTGTTTATGTATTATGTAAGTCCAACTTAATTAATTTTTACATAGATTTCAAATTAGAAATAAAACAGTATATATAAATTAGTAATCTTACATAATAATGTTTTTAAAAATTGTTACAAAAATACAAATTTATAAATTTTATATTAATAATATTATAAGTCATATAAAAATTATTATAAAATTGGATAGCATACATAATCAAATTATACTTATTTTTTGATAAATTTTATTATATAATTTCAAATATTTTTGTATTAAAATACCCGCACGGTTGTGCGGGTCGAAATCTAGTTTTCATTAATCTACATAACTGTCAATAAATTATTTTAAACTCAAATCTGTATAAGCCTTAATTGCACATTTAGTTAAACCATTAAACTACTTTCAACCGTTGGACTTTTGACAAAGAGATTTGACTTGCAAAGCATATAAAACTTGTAACTTGTAAGCCATGTGCAAATCCATTGAAAGTCGAACTCTGAAATAAAAATTCGAGAAAGATCCGAATTTTAAGCAAAGAATCATCTTCAATACTTGCAACAGATTCACATACACGCGCACACACACACACAAAACAAAAAAGAGAGAACCAAGAAAATGGCTTGCAAGAATCATTCTTCAAGAACAGTTTATACTTCTTCAACACTTCCTTTCAGATTCACAACAACCATTACATTACTACTCATCTTCTGTACTTCTTACTACATCTTCTTCTCACAGCTCGATCACTCTCCATTGACTTCTTCCACGGAAAACCCTCCCTTCGCCGGAGATCTCCGAGACCTAACATCCCCTTGGAACAAACTCACTTTCGGACCAATCTCCAAGAAGCTAAAACTCGCCGTCTTCTGCAAATCATGGCCCGTTGGTTCCATCCCTGGTGGAATGGAGCGTCACGCATACACTCTCTACACTTCTCTCGCCTCAAGAGGCCACGAGGTTCACGTCTTCACGGTTTCTTCCGACAGAAGTAACCATTATAAAAACCAAGAAGAGTATTACAACAAAGGAGATCTACTACACATCTACTTTGCCCCAAACGAAAACGGTGCACTTAACATCTCTCACGCCTTCGAGATCTTCCACAGAATCAACGGTGTAGATCATCCTTTCGACTATGTTCACACCGAGAGTGTTGCTCTGCCTCATTGGCGAGTCAAGATGGTGCCTAAAGGTGACGTGGCTGTCACATGGCATGGGATTTGGTACGAGATTATGCATTCTAAGCTTTTTGAAGAGCTTTATCACTCGAATGATCATCCTAGCTCTGATCTTGATCATGCAATGCCTAGACTCGTCGATGAAATCAGATTCTTCCCGGCTTATAAACAACATATTTGCATAAGCAACAGCGCGCGTGAGGTTCTTGTGAACATCTATCAGCTTCCAAAGAGAAACGTTCATGTGATAGTCAACGGCGTTGACCAGACTAAGTTTGTGTATTCCCCTGAAGCTGGAGCTAGGTTTAGGGCGAAACACGGTGTTCCTGTTGGTAATGGGACAGTTATTGTGATGGGTGTGTCTGGACGTTTGGTGAGAGACAAAGGACATCCACTTTTGTACGAAGCGTTTGCCTTGATCGCTAAAACGCACCCGCAAGTGTATTTACTTGTGGCTGGATCTGGTCCTTGGGGGAAAAGATATGCGGAGCTTGGTGAACACGTTAGGGTTTTAGGGTCTTTAGAGCCAGAAGAGCTCTCTGGTTTCTACAACGCTTTGGATGTGTTTGTGAATCCAACGTTGAGACCTCAAGGGCTTGACTTGACGATCATTGAGGCAATGCAGTGTGGGAAACCAGTTGTGGCGCCGAACTACCCTAGCATTGTTGGGACGGTGGTTGTGGATGAGCGTTTTGGGTATACGTTTTCTCCAAACGTGAGGTCTCTTGTTGAGACGTTGGATGCTGTTGTAAATGATGGGTCTACGGTTTTGGAGATGAAGGGGAAAGCTTGTAAAGATTATGCTCTTTCGATGTTTACAGCGACTCAGATGGCTTCAGCTTATGAGAGATTCTTTATGTGTATGAATAATGAGATGTATTGTAGGTACCCTCTTCCTATAGACATTTGATTTTTTTTCATTGATTTTGTAAGTTACTTTGATTCATTTCTTTTGTAAGAAGATACTTGGTCTCTTGCATTACACAGTTTCATACTATTTATTTACAAGAGACGCACATTTGCAAGTTTTGGTGGGTCAAGTGACAAAAATTATAAGTAATCTTATGTTTTCGGTTTATCAACTTAGCCGGTTACGTTTTTTCATATATTATGTTATTCAAATATCAAATAGCTTGGATAATTAAACCGGAACAAAACATCCAATGAAAAAATACGTTCGTCTAAAAAGATGTAGCATTCTTCGCAATAAAGTCAGCGTTTGAGTTGACTACTCAAATACATGAAAAAAATAAAATGCATGAAAAACTTCTGAATCTATTGAACTCTTTGTGCTCTGTTGAAAATATGTGTCAAAATTCGGATTATGTTATATTCGCATTGTATTCTACTAACATATATGTATACACTGTACTCTCCCCATAATAAATGAAATTTTGCTTCTTCACACACATATTAAATTTTTTACTTTTTCTAAAAAAACTCTTGAAACTATAATTTAAAACTAACTAGATTTTGAACCCGCACATCCGTGGGGTAATCTTTCATTTATTAAATATAAAAATTTGATATAAGTTAACAAGTTTATTTTCTGTAAAATTTATTACATAATTTACGAATGATTTTTTTTTTAAAAAGGTAAATAATATTTTAGTCACTTAAATGGTGAATGATATTTTATTTATTTATTTCAATGTTTTTTTTAAAAAAATATATTAGTTTACCAATTTAATATAATTTTTATATGTAATTCATTTATGGTTTCTCTTTTAATATAATATAGATTATATTTATAAAAATTATAAATTAGCATATAGTATATTATATTTTGTTTATAAAAAAAATTAATTGATATTTATGTATAATAATATTATACTACTAATTACGAAATTAATCAGTGCATTAATTAAAAAAATATTTAAATTTTTAAAAAATATTTTGTTAGCATTTTCCTCAACAGATTTTGGGATTACTAAATCTAAAATTTAAAATTACAGTTAAAATAGATTTGTTATTAATATCTTTATAATTATTTAGCAATGTTATACATTAAATAAAATAATGTAAATAATCAAAACAGTATAACTGAATATATGAACCTAGTATGACTATTCTATAATAGATAAAAATAGTACTTCTCTTTTAATAGAGAAGATTTATCTTTTTTTTTGATAAAAACTAATTTATCTAACTATAAATAAAAATATTAAAAATACTATTGATTACACAGTTTTTGATAAAATTCAATTGTCTAAATATGTGAAAACATCATCTATTGTGAAACAACAAAAATCACCGAAAACATTATTTAGAGTGAAATGAGAGGATTATGTTTTAATTTATTGGCTGGGGGTGAGGAAAAAGAGTCCATAAATAATTAATACTATACTTTTCACGCACATAATTTTAAATCGTATATCTACACGAGCCATTAGAGAATACAAACATGATAAATTAAATTATTTCAGACTCACTTGCATTAATATTTATTTTTTCTTTCTTTATATATACTTTATATGAAGATCTAATCCCTAGTAACTATTATATATTGCGGAATGTATAGAGTACGTAAAGCATGCACAATTCATAAAACGTGTAACGAACATCACATTTTATTTTGGTTACACTGAACAAAGAAACAAAGCTGCATACAAAACGGATCAATATGTTTTCTTCTAAACAGGTTCGCGATCAAGAAAAGAAAACACATTCCTGCAAGTTTATACGAGAGTAGTACTTAGTGATGACGAGGATCAGGACCTCCAGGACTGAGTCTCTTGGACTCGTTAAAACCTCTCTCCATTAGCTTCTCCATATTAGCTTTCAACACTTTTTCAGCTTCTCTCATCATACGCCCTCCTTTCTTTCCCTCTCTGTTTGCAAACCGCTCCTGCATTGGCCGAAATGCTGATGACCACGACAGCGAAACACAGATCAGGACCAAACACAGCCAAAATTTTAAGTTAGCCATGTGTTATGTGCTAATGAAGGATTCAATATGGAATGTGTTTAAATGTTTATGTTTTTATCGTGTGAGTGTGTGTGTTTTCACTCACATGCTTGAGACATTTATATAGAGAATGGAACTAGGATCAATCTCAATGAAATCATAATTTTTTTTGTTATGTATTATAAAATAGACAAGGCGGTGGTAAAAGCCAATTTATAATTACGAGTTCCAACTTATCAAAGTGCTTGGTCGAGAGCAATCCATATATATATATTTTTTATTTTTTTCAATATATAATGTTATAAGATATACTATTCAAGTAAGCTATATTGATATATATCATATATGAACATGATAAATCATATAAGGCTATTGTTAATTAGTTTGCGATGATTCTGTAATGTTTAAGTTACACAATAAATATGAAGATGTGCCAAAAGTTTTTTTTTTTTAAAGGAGTTGCAAACCGGCAAAAAGATGTATTGAATTATGTATTTGAAATGATTTGATTTTCGGTGAGTTTATGACAATTTTGGCTGAATGGAGAAATCTACTATGATTTTAATTAACAACTCTATAATCTAAAATTATGATCTTTGAATTTTTATATTTTAAGTTGAAAACTTCATCAAAATAATTTACAATCATTAAAATTTACAATTTATTATTTAAAATTTCCCATGTTTAAAATTAGCAAGTTAAATAACGTTATATTTTAAATTTATATTTGAATAACATATGATTTATCGTTTTGATATAAAGTATTTCAGATGGAGCTCGAATACATCTTAAGTGTTGTGCGCAGAGTAAAAGAGAGAATCCTTTTGGGGGGGGGGGGGTCAAATAGGATTTTAATTTGGCCAACTGATGATCGGAGGGTGGTAGGAAAATAATACAAAATGTTGAAACATTTAGGATGGGCTAAGTGCTTAAGTGTACAGTTATCGAATCAGTGTCGGAACCGTTTATTTACTTGCCTTATTACCCTTTTTTTTTAACTACAACTGCCTTATTACCTACTTTTGTTAGGTTGTTTGCTTTTTGAAAACATTCTTGTTGTTCGTTTTTGACAGTTGCTCGGTAACGTCTTTTGATTGTTTTTTTTTTTGTTTTCATAAATAACTTTTTTTTTACGAAGTGATATAGAACTTCTTTTGATTGTTTCAGAGTACGAACATGACGTAAGTCATTAGGTTTGGGATGAAACATTCTTGATATCTTTATTTTTCTAGTTAAATGTTACCTATCACATGCCGACATAAACTATTTAAAGCTTGGTCAATTCATCGTAACAAATATGGGCATAAATTTGAAAATCGTCGAATAGCAAAAAAATTACAAGTGTTAGAGCATTTTATCCCGCTTAAATGAAGTGTATACCTTACATGATTCCCTAATACAAGAAATTCGGTTGTCTGGTCATATGGTTGGTGCTCCTTGCTGCAATAAATCTGTGCGGACAATTCCTTTCCAGTGTTATCTATTTAAATTGATACGAGTTCAAGACTAGCTAGATAGTAGTTAGTATGGTTTATCTCCTTCTAACGATCCAGCTTCTAGTTCATGATATATTCGGTAATGTGGTTATGCTATCTGAGTTTAGAATCATGATGCTCCTTTGAATTTTTCGACCAAAATCAAATATCTAGTGCTATTTCTAGTCTCATACCATAAAACTCACGATCCGGTTCTAGTTCGGAGAGCCTTTTTGACCAAAATATCATAAACGACACATAATAGGTAGACAGCCACATAAAAAAGAATATTAATCTTAAATGTATGTTAACAGAAAATGATAACTATACACCAAAAAACAGAAATTATTATTTATTTTATCATCAACAATAAATAATAAACTTAAAGGTTATTTGATTTAATATTACTATATTAATATATTATTAAACTTTGATTTTTTTATTATGTAAATATTTTTTATTGGTGCAAGCTATGTGAAACTTTGCTGAGTTATGATTTTTTTACGTGTTGCGGTTTTTTTATGTACCTAACTTTTTATGTAAAAGATATATACCCAAAAGTAACAGTTTAAGAAAAAGGTGAAATTGCGTAGACGACTGATGTTAAGGTACATTTGAATGCATCGATCTTAAACTAGTTCATAATATATAAAGAAAATATGAGAGACAAATGTGAATGTGTTCTATTTTGGAAAAATAAAACTGTCCTTGCAAAGAGTCATCCGTGGCTGACTTTCGACGCCTTTTGATTAGTTGACCATATGAGTTAACTAACACTCGGATTTTAGTATTGGAGATTCTTAATATATATATATAATGGTGTTTTGGATAGGATCGAGTTCAGGGAGCTTGTGGTTGGCAGCGAATCCGAGCAAGAGATGGGGAGAGCTCTTTTCCTCTTCTACACTCCTTTCTGGGTCACTCTCTCCTTTGGCATCGTTGTTCCTTTTAAGCTCTACGATTGAAAATGTATCTTTTATATAGAGTTTGGCTTGTTTTGGGAAACGTGGAATCTTTATTGATATTCTTGAAATGCTAACACCAGTGTTTGCATCAATGACAGACATTCACGGAGTTGGAGTATCAGCTTCTGGCTTTGGTTTCAGCTCTTCCCGCTTTCCTCATACCCATGTTACTTGTCGTTGGAAAGGTATATATTAGTATTTAATTATAAATATTTTAATTTGACAAGAAATTTAATTAAATATGAATTAACTAATACTGAGATTCTAGTATTGGAGATTCTCAATATATATATATATATATATATATGAATTTTAGAATTTGATCATCGATATCTTAACTTTATGTAAAAAATACAAAAAAAAATATGAAGATATTTTCAATTGGATTTCTGGTAAATTTAAGAAATTCATAATTAAATATTAATATTTCTCTCTATATATTTATTAAGAATTTTATTGGGGGTGTTGTTTGAGTAATGTCTTTTGATCGAATATTAATTCTTTCTATCAACTTAAAATAACAAAATCAAATAGTGCTATCAATAACAAACAAAATCAACTATGAACCTCACTATAACCTGCATATTACAAAAGAACTTAGAAAATATTCATGAGTGAGATCCAAATCATCTACTTTATTAAAATATAATTTTTTTTTATCTACTGATACAAGTTGTCATTTAAATTTGGACCATTTTTAGAGTGTTACAAATAATATAAGGTATATAGTTGACTGAACCGAATTACTTAAATTAAACCGGCGGTTATTTGTGGGATAGAGTCTTGGCTTACTTTTGTTTTTAGGACAAATTATATGCTTTGGTTTTTGGGCTTAGTATTAAGGAAAAACTCCAAAAAAACATTGAATAAATTTTCCACCTTAATGGATCAAAAAATTAATTACTATTTCAGGCCCAAAAGTAATTAATATTTTTAACAAAACAAAATTTTCTATTATTAATCACTTATTTAAATCATGTACTTTAAAATTTGTTAATGTATTTTTTATTTTAAATAATATCACTTTGTTTTGATAAATTTCAATGGCAACTTTTAAATAGTTTATTATTTTATTTTTCTTAAATAATTTACTGATTTTAAAAAAATTAAATGTAAAGCAAAACCAAAAACCATATCTAAAAACTAAAATTCGAAACCAAAAGCTGAAAATGCATGTTATATTTTTTCTTTTGTTAATTTACAAAATAAACTATTGTAATTTTTTTCTAAAGTTGTCATCTTTTCAGTTTTAAATTAGATGTTCGATTATTTGGGATTTGTTTGTTAGTAATATTAGTTCAAACTAACTCAGCGGATTTAAAAACTAAAAACCCAAACCAAAAACTGAAAATAAAAAATAGATACTTAAAAACTAAAAACCAAAAACCAAAAACCAAAATCTAAAACCAAATCTAAAAATAAAAACTAAAACTAAAAACTAATGCAAAACGACTACCACCACAAATTTTGGATTGCTGATTTTATACCAAAACATACTTTAAATAAAAACAAAACCCAATTATATAAATTTTTAATCATAAAAAATTTTCCTCGCTTCCAAACCAAAAGCTGAAAATCAAAAATAAAAACTTAAAAACTAAAAACCAAAAACCAGAATCTAAAACCAAAAACCAGAATCTAAAACCAAATCTAAAAATAAAAACTGAAACTAAAAACTAATGCAAAACGATTACCACCACAAATTTTGGATTGCTGATTTTATATTAAAATATACTTTAAATAAAAACCAAACCCAATTATATGAATTTTCTAATTATAAAAAAGTTTCCGCGCTTTCAAGCGCGGGTCAAAATCTAGTTAAAGCTTATTTTACAGTTTTTCTTTAAAATCAACGAGAGAGTATCATGTCAAAGTTAAACACTATATTTTACGTTGGTTAATTAATATTTTGAAGACTCTTTTATGGTAAAATTTTATTAGCGGAAACGATTTTGGATCTTGTGGATACAAGCTGGAACATTAGTTTATAGAGTAAGTGAAGCACCAATTCGAATCTAAAAGAAAAAGTAATTGAACACTAACTACTAGTTAAAGAGAGCAGTATTGACAAAAATACCTAATGTTAGATTGTATATGCGATACGATTTATATAGATACTAGTTTAGATACTCAAGATCCTCTTGGTGCTCTTTTATGCTGTTTTGATTGGGCAGACTCTGTCCTGTCCTGAGGAAAACCTATAGAACTATGGTTTCTAACCCGCTTCCAATCTGTTTTCAATCTTCAATATTATTAACTATTTCCAACTTTATTTTTAATAATATTTCTTTGAAATAATGGTCTATATGTACTAGAGTTTAGAATGTCATTAACTCTTAACTATTTCCAATTTTCTTTTATTTTGTTCCAGTTTTTAAAACTTATAACCGGCACTGAGTTGGGTAATAAAAGATTCAAGTTACAAAATAGTCCTGGCTGTATTTGTTTTTTTGTCAATATGCATTTTAGTTGGTTATTATACAATGTAATCCTACGGCAATGACTAATGAGTAGAACTTAAAATCATTTTTCTATATGTTCGTGGAACGTTTTAAGAAGAAGAAAATGGTTTTCCTCTTTAAGGAACACTAGAGCTTGACAAGCGAGTATTTGTTTTTATTTTCTGATAAACAATAAATATTAATTTATCTAAATTATAATATATATTTTTAAATTACCTATTTTTAAATAATTTTTAATATGAAGTAATAAATATAATAATTTATAGTTTATATTAAGGAAATTTATTTTGTCTTATAACCATCAATTTTATCACCCACATTTTTAAAGTATGACTCGTGCATCTCTGCAAATGTATTTATATTTTTAATATTTTTTATAATAACGTATAATAAAATTGTTTTATATACTAATTAAAATATGGTGCTATATCTTCTTATGCTCTTAAACAATTATTTTATTAAATTCACATTGGACTTTTATTTATATGAAAATATACCTAAACTGATATATTAATTTATTTTTATTTACATATTATATAAATGGTTCTTTTTATGTGACATCTTTTTAAGTTATTACTAATAAAAATATACTATATAAATTTTTAAAATATTGTATTCTAAATTTAGTAAATGGATATCTAAATTGATTAGGTGGTGGATTTATGATTGTTTATTAATTAATAATTAATAATTATTTGTAAATCCCTGATCATTTTCAAACTCAGATTATAATGAAATATAAATGAATCATTTGAAAAAATATTTAGTTTAAATGTGTTTATAGACATAATTTTAGATTTAGAGGAATTATCGATTTTTCGTATATCATAAATTATCATATATAAAGTTGTTTGCTCCCCAATTAAAAAGAGAACCAATAGTTTAAGAAACAAAAACAAAACTGAGGATGAATAGAATATAATTATGGTGGTGTCGTACATTAATAAGATAGAAAATTATCATTAATTTAGAAAATACAAAATGAGGAAAATTAAATTTCGTATAGGATTAATTAATGATAAACTATTTTATTGAATTATTGTAGCCAAATCCTATTTAGTTGTAATTGTTTTAGGAAATTGATTTTCTTAAATTACTGTTGCTATTTTTTAGCTAATAATAAAATTAGAAAAATGCATTAATGAAATAAAAAAGACAAATAATATTAATGATATGTTTATTAATGGCAAATCTTTGTAAATAAATAGTAAGTTTTAAGATTATTTCTAATTTGTATTTCTCTTTTAATAAGATATAGATATAGATGCATTATGCGGATGATAACAAGTCGATTACACCACTATATATGTTACATGATCACATTTTAACCAGAAATCATTTTTATGAATGTTGTAACACTTAACCACTTGGTTAATACTATTACAAACACCATAATATATATACATATTCTTGAAAACTTATCTTCATAACACATTTTACTCAGTTACTCAAAGTATGTTCTTTCTTCCTATACATGTATTCTATTAACCAGAATACTTATAAACAGCTTACATATGACATTAATTATAAACATACAAATAAACTTTTCGGGTTTATGCAGACGGCTTTTTATCAAATGTCTAACTATTTCAAAATTTCTCTCTTTTGTTCATTCATCAGTACGTAGATTTAACATTTTATCAAATATTATACATATCAATATACAAATCTAGCGTATAATACAGACACCAACTAGTAAATAATTTGGAAAACAAATAACTTTTGATGAGGTTTAATAAAAGAGAAGTTAGTGGGTTCTCTCAGAAGATTAAGGTTATCAAGGTTGAACTAACTATTAAACCTTCTGTATTAGTCCTCACTCATATGCACTTTCTTACCGAACGCCCTCCAACTCAACTTTTTCTTCCATTCGACTCCAATTAAACAAAAGTATAATATATACTTTTCATCTGGTGTATATGCTTATATATCAATTATACTTTTTGAGTTAAATAAAAACCATGACATTTAAATGGATCACGATCGCTGAATCGAAGATAAACTAAATAAATTTGAAATGACGGTTAGACATGTATAGAGACACAACTTTATCACCATTTTCTTCCATTTGAAAAAGAATTGTTACAAAAATTCGACGAGTGTTAATTTGTAAAGTCAACTATTTTTAAAAGAAAGTAGTATAAGTTCGACACTGACACAAATTATTAAACTACATATTCTAAAATATATATATATTATTTCTCCATTCAAATATGAAAGTTATAAGATATGGCTTCAGTTTTATAATTGATTTGACTATGACAGGCAACATAGTAATTCATGTTAGTATTGTTAATGTGTTGCCATCTTAAGTTTAAACTCAATAAGACAAGAGTCTATCTACGAGGACATCATCAAAAGTGGCTTAAGACTCCGATGAACACGAACTCCAGTCTTTGAATGTTGGAGGCTCTTTTTAGTCTTCAGACCACACCTCTCCTGGTCGTTTCCTCGTCTCCAAGTTTCACACTCTGCTAAATATGTCTATTAATATGTCAGAGATAATAACCTATCAGAGAATACATATTACAATGCCGCACAACTATTGACCATTTGAGCTACAACAACATGATGATTTCTTCTTTTATGATGTTCATGTTCCCCATCTCTCGTTTAGCAGACATATCGAGCTGGAAGAGTTCCACAAGAAACATTAAATATCATCTCCTTACTACTCTCTTGATAATAAGTGCAATGCTAATCTATCTCTTAACAACAAGTGCAGTGCTAGATTGGCATTGAATTATGCGAAAATGAGTTGACACATTAGAATATTCAATCGCGGGCTGACTGGTAAGAAAACACATCGTGTCTAACCTGTGTTCCAACAATAGGTCTAAAGAAGGGTTCTTAATCAAATCCTCTATGATAGCTCCATCAGCCGTGGCAACTAAATGGATTCTACTACACGATCGTCTTGCAGCAACTGCTTCAAGTTTAATTCCAATATCATCGATCATAAAACTTGGGGCAAGTAGTTTTCTACTGCTTCTATCAGTACATCAAGATAAAGCAAACTAAAATAAATAAATAAAAAATAAATAAATAAAAATATATATATATATATACACGTTTGCCAACCAAGTATATGGATCATAACAAGACACCCCAGCAAAAGGGTCACATTTTACGTCAGGACCAGTAGCACATCCAACAAAAAGAGAAAAGCAAAGAGAGTTTTGTTAATAGAAGTGAATCAATGACTGTCTTCATACAAAGCTTACAAAGTTCTGATCATACACAATAAGAGGAGATGCAAGTAGGAGTTTTTATTAAAAAAAGTTTCCAACTGAACTTAAGTGGCTTTTTTACTGTGTATCGAGTGCAAGATCATGCCAAGCTTCTCCATCTACTTGCTGAGTTTCCTGATCTGAAACAATCGCAATGGGAGAGATTAGGATAAATCTCTAAATCTCAAAGTTCACTATGTCTGAAACAAACACAAAGTGGTCTGTGCTGTCTCTATTGGTTTCCTTCAATATGGGATGTTTAACATGATGAATTCAAGCTAGCTAGCAGTTTTTAGACAAGTGTAATAAAGCAAAACAAACCAAAGTGGGGAAACCAAAACATACTGGTTTCTTCAGTATCATCAGTCCTAACAGCAAGCACTGGAGGCAATGGGAGATCTGCAATCAATAAATAATTAACACAAACAATTAATCTGATGAAAAAAAATGGATACACTAAAATGATCTTGAGATTGAAGGTTAACCATCATCAGGGAGAGTGTCCCTCATCCACTCCTCGTCCACAATATCAATAAGCATACCAAGACTCACTTCTGCCATTTGAATCCCTCAAGATTTCTACTTAAAAAAAATTCAAAATTCAGATGACAAATAACTAATTAACACATGAATAATTGAAACAATCTACAGATAGCTTCGTGGAGAAACAAAAAAAAAAAAAAATTAGGTTTCTAATTGAGGAAATTCGTCAAACAGGTGGTGAGCAATCAAGAAAAAACAAAAAATTATATAGCCAACCCAACACGATACTCACTACGAAAAAAAAACCTTGGATCGAAAATGTCAATTAAAGTTGCGAAGAGACTCACCTGTTAGAGATGATGTATAAGGAGAAAGGCAGCAGCGCACACACGATAGTATTTACTATTTAGGCTTGCGGGTCCGGTTCGGTACGCACAATAGCTTACCGAATTGAACCGAACGAAAAATTCGGTTTATCCTTTAATTAGGGATACCTTCCGGCTCACTCAGAGGGTATCTAAAGTCTTCGTGAAATTTTTCAACTTAGGGTTGTCTCTCTCTCACTGCACGGTTCAGAGCTAAGCCGGCCACAACAGCCACCGATCACTCTCCCCGCCCATCGTTTCAGGTATCTCTTCTTCTTCTTCGTTAGTTTCAGATTTTCTCCATTGTTTCGTTTTACCTGGAGAAGTTGTTGTACAAAAAAGCTACTTCCTTTATTAATCTCAATGCATTTCGTTCGACCTAATAGAGTTAATTTAGTGATCTACGTTGTGTTACTAATCTGCAAACAGCTCAAAATGGATTCATGATTCGCAGTAAATTTCAAAGCTTTAACTAACTTCAATTTGTAAATTAGGTCTCTCAAGTGAAGCAATGAGTTCTTCTTCTTCACCATCATTGGAGATTTTAGGTACACACATCACTCAAACTCAATTTCAGTTATATTCAGCGACAGTCCCTCTTCTCGAAAGTCACCTCCTTTCTTTTTTTAATTGCAGTTAGAGACGCTGAAGGTTTCATTGTCTGGAATGGCCCTCCTTTTAGTAGTAACGGTCAACCAACTCCCAAGAATGAGCGAGTTTCATGCTCCAGCACCAAGTTTAGCCTTGATGGTTCCAAGTTCATGGCCATGAAATCTGATGGAACTATTAGTATCTATGACTCCGCCAGCTTGAGTGAAGTTCGGTCGTTCACTGTAGCTAATGTTACGGCTGCTGAGATATCTCCGTGTGGGACTTTTCTTCAGACCTTTCAGAAACCCACTACTCCCCAGGAGAAGAATGTCTCTCTTTGGAATACTGAGACTGGAGGTCTTGCGCATGGTCTTTACCAAAAATCTATAACTAAAACCACATGGTAAGCTGGTCTTATTGCTTAATGATTGGGTTTTTTGATGCCTGTTATGTTATTTTTTTATGATATGGAGTGTTTATGTGGTTGTTGTTTAGGCCATCGATTCGCTTCCCTCCTGATGAGTCTTCTGCGTGTCGTTTAGCTACTAATGAGGTCCAGTTCTTTGACCCGAAAGATTTCTCTAAAGGAATAACATCCAGGATTAGAGTTCCTGGCGTAGCGGCTTTTGAGCTTTCTAAAACCCCAGCCTCCCATGTTGCTGTGTTTGTTCCAGAAATCAAGGTGCTCTTCATTGCGTGTGCTATCCTTTTTTTCTTTCTTTCTGAAAGCTGCACACTGTATATGTGTATAATTGTTTCTTCCGTTAAGCTGGCTCTAACATGTTAAGTCTTACATATATAGGGGAGTCCAGGTAGTGTCCAGATATTTGGTTGTGGGAAAGACGCTGAGAGTCAGCCAAGTGCTAGACGTAGCTTTTTCAGGTGTTCCTCTGTGCAGTTTAGTTGGAATCATGGTTCCACTGGACTTCTAGTGGTTGTACAATCAGATGTTGACAAGACCAACAAAAGTTATTATGGGGAAACAAAGCTAAACTATCTTACAGTTGATGGCACACATGAAGGCCTTGTTCCATTACGTGCGTCGTAAGCTTTTATATATCTGCTCTCTTGTGATTTTTGAAAGTACTGACTCTCTGGTGCCTTGACAGGTAAGGAGGGACCAGTTCATGATGTTCAGTGGTCCTTCTCGGGTTCAGAGTTTGCAGTTGTATATGGATGTATCCTTTTTTCCAAAATCTTTAAGGAGTAATCTATATGAGTTTATTGAGGATTAATGTGTTTGTGTGCATGTCATCACCAATTGACATGTTAATATCTTTGTGTTCGTGTTAAGAGGTTATTTTTCTTTGCATCTACATGCTGCTTCTGGTATCCGTTTCTTCAGACATTGTTTTTCCTTAAGCGTGACTTCAGTTATGCCTGCTTGTGTAACAATCTTTGACAAGAAGTGCAAACCTTTGATGGAGCTTGGTGAAGGTCCTTACAACACTCTCCGATGGAACCCAAAAGGGAGAAGTACGGTTCCCTTCCCCATCCCTATTTTCTTTTTATCTTTCCTTTTGTTTCAGTTTAAATTGAGTGTTTGTGTCCATTCATACTTGGTTACTGTCAATCAAATCTACAGTTTTATGTGTGGCTGGATTCGGTAACTTACCTGGTGATATGGTAAATAACAATCCCTTCTGCTCTTCATATCTTCTAATTTGTCAGGAATTCACATTATATTGTCCACAGATCTTCTCTGCATGGTTACTTAATTGATTTAGTTATACATTTCAGACATTCTGGGACGTCGTCACTAAGAAGCTAATAGGAAGTAACAAAGCCGAGTGGTCTGTAACAAGTGAATGGTCTCCGGATGGGCGTTATTTCCTGACTGCCTCAACAGCACCAAGACGTCAAATCGACAATGGGTATGTTAAAAATTCTTGCCACAAAATTGCGTTTGGTATCTTATCTGCATCAGTGGGTCATAGAATCAGTTCATCTGATCACTTCGTGTTGTGAAATGAATACTGTGCGTTGTCCATGAATTACTTTTAACGTATGCACCTAGTCACTGATATATATTTGAAGCTGTCAGAGATGGTTTCTCCTTAATCTATTAATGCAGTATTGTGGTATCTCACTGATATGGACTGTTTTGTGTTCTGTAACCTCTTTGTTTTTTGACTGAAGGATTAAAATCTTCAACTATGACGGAAAGCGTTATTTCAAAAAAATGTTTGAGAGACTGTACCAGGTATATCTCTTAATAGCTTTGAAAAGCATAACTTAAAGTTTCTTACTAACGTGCCGTGTTTTTTCTACCTACAGGTTGAATGGAAACCGGAGTCTCCAGAAAAGTTCGATGAGATCAGTGAACTTCTCAAGTCAGTTGAAACATTGAAACTCGAAGAGGGCAAATCGCAAGGTCTGAGTCTCTTGTTTTTTCAACTCTTAAACCTGTGCTGATTGTAAGAAAGTTTTGTAAAACTTATCTTGTTTTTAAACGATTCTGCATTGTCTTAGGACAAGGATCAGCTCAGAAGAAACCTGTTGCTTCCATCCCCACTGTACAAAAACCAGCTGCATATCGACCTCCTCATGCTAAGCAAGCAGCTGCCATCCAAGCCGAGGTACTCATAATGAACTTTTCCATGTACTCACAAGTGATATCTGGCATTGAGTATTCCCCAATATTACCGGTTTTCGATTAAACATACGGCTTCACATATCAATGTCCCTGATTAATTTCATGATTTGCAATTGCAGTTGCTTGGAGTAAACCCAGCAGGGTAAGTCTCTATCTTGCAAGACATATATAATCTTAGAAAGCATCAATCTTTCTTTTGTTGATGGATAATCTGTTGTTAATACAGAGAGGTGAGCAAGAACGCTCTTAGAAACAAGAAGAAGAGGGAGAAGAAGAAAGCGGCAGAGGCTGCTGCTTCTGGGTCTAATAACGCCTGATTGAAGTAGTCACACCCAAGATATTATATTCAAGTTGAAATTACAGTTTTGAAATTCCCAGATGGTAATAAAGATCCTATAGAAGTGGCAAAAAAGTTATGTTAACCGCTGTTTACAGACTATTTTACATCAGTTATGTTAAATTTTGTGTGGTATTAAAACTTCGATTTAATCTACGGTGAGTGAAGCCAAATTATTCCACAGTTTATCTAATTGGTACACGTTCATGCATAGTCAGCACAACACATACGCACACTGTGACATGGTATACTCACTCGAACCTTAATGTACGTGCAAAAACTTAGCAAGAGAAGACAAGGAGGCAGAGGAAGTTAATGATATACACAAACACGAACGGTAGATTTGAAGTCAGGATGTGGTAAGTAAAATGCATGCAGTTTAAGGCTACGTGTCCATCTTAGGATATTCAAGTTTCACATCTGTCCTTGTTTACTTCGACTTCTCTTCATTTTGGCTTCTTTTAAGCTCTCTGTCTCTATCTTTCTTCTTCAATCTTCACCCTTCCTTGTTAATTCTTAGCGTTTTGATTATAATGGCAACATCAGCTCATAGAGCATACGCTTTTGGTAGAGCCGATGAGGCAACACACCCTGACTCCATTAGAGCCACCTTAGCTGAATTCCTCTCCACTTTTGTCTTCGTCTTTGCAGCTGAAGGCTCTATCCTCTCTCTCGGTTCTTATACTCACCCTTCTCTATCTTTTGAGTCTTTTGCATATGCGATATAACTTGTGAATTGTTTGTTATTTTTCTCAGATAAGTTATATTGGAGCCATGCGGCTCATGCGGGGACAAACACACCAGGAGGACTAGTATTAGTAGCGTTAGCTCACGCTTTTGCTCTGTTCGCTGCTGTCTCTGCAGCCATCAATGTCTCTGGTGGACACGTTAACCCGGCCGTCACGTTTGGTGCTCTTATTGGTGGCAGACTTTCTGCAATCCGTGCCATCTACTACTGGATAGCTCAGCTTCTTGGAGCCATCCTCGCTTGTCTATTGTTAAGGCTTTCCACAAACGGCATGGTAAGACTAATTATTATCATATATATGTTTATTGTGTTGCAATGTTTTAAGAGTTTGTGTTCATGCAGAGACCAGTTGGTTTCCATGTAGCATCAGGCGTTGGTGCAGTTAATGGACTCATTTTAGAGATCATCTTAACGTTTGGTCTAGTGTACGTCGTCTACTCTACTTTGATTGATCCAAAGCGTGGAAGTCTTGGGGTTATAGGACCACTTGCGGTCGGACTCATAGTTGGAGCAAACATCTTGGTGGGTGGACCATTCTCTGGTGCGTCAATGAATCCAGCTAGAGCCTTTGGTCCAGCATTGGTTGGATGGAGGTGGGATGACCATTGGATCTATTGGGTCGGACCGTTCATTGGTGGTGCTTTAGCTGCTCTTATATATGAGTACATGGTCATACCTACTGAGCCACCAACGCAGCATACCCACCACCAGCCCTTGGCTCCTGAAGATTACTAGATGGGACTTTGCTCTTGGTCTCACTCCTGCTTGTCCTTGTTCAAGCTTTCTTTGTATGTGTGAAATCACTTTGCATAGAATCTTTGTTTTGATGCTACTCTTTGCTCTTTTTTTTTGTAATAATAAGAATAAAGAAAGATTTCACGATGAGAACTTTTGATATTTTCATCAAGTAAATATGGATACAAGTAAACAATACCATAAGCTAACTTATTGTTCTAAGCACTGGAGGCCGAAGAAGGACGCAACAACCACGAAACTTTCTTGTAGACAGAGCAGAACAACAAAGACATAGATCCATAGACCAGTTCGGAGCTACTTTTGTACTTTTTATCCCTTAGATTCGTTTGCAACTATATAATTTTACTAATCATCCTTGGTATCACTGCTTCTAATCAGCATGCTAGATCACAAGCAAAATGATCAGATGAATACACATACCCAGCAGAAAAAGTAAGTAATACAACAACTAAACTTAGTAGTGTCAAAAGTTCAATCATTCAGCATTAAGTAAGAAAATTCAGAAACAAGCAAAAAGACATATCAAATCTACCAAAAATAAAGTATTATTTGTTACCGACATACAAGAAGACACAGATTCTTACATACTTCAGACAAAAAGTACAAAAACAGAGTTCTCTGTTCACAGATCCACATAGAAAATCAAACAGAAAGAAAGAAGAAAGAGCAACGAACTTCATTTACATGGTCTCTCTAATGGGTGACCATTCAGGATATTTCAGTCCCATTCAGTATTTTTTTTTTTAATTTTGGTTTGGGTTCGATTTGGATTTTTGCCTCGGTTTCAGATAATCCATTTAAAATATTTTAAAATTTCAAAATTCATTATATACTTTAACTGTCCGACAATAAACAAAATAAGATACTACATATAAATTTGAATAACATATGTCAAAAAACATAAACTTAACATATAAACTGGTTTAGTTTTAATATTTGGAAAGACAATCAAGAGATATTTCAAGTTTTTTTAGTGTTTTGAATATACTTGACTATTTAGACATTTACTTTTGACTATTTATATATATTTTCAAGTATTTAGACAATTTAAAAGTATCTTATATATTTTGGATGTTCTTTTAATACACATTAAATCTAAAAATAATTAATATATTTACGTATATAAATCTATTTCGGATACTCAAAATACTTGGGTTCGGGTTCGGTATTAGTCCTCTAGATACCAAGATTTTGAACCTATTCGGATATTTAATCAATTTCATTTCGGTTCGGTACTACTTTTTCTGATCGGATTCGATTAGGTTTTTGTCTATCTCTGGTCTAACTCATGAACAAAAAATTATCGTTTTCTCATCACAGTAACACCGAAAAAAGAAAAAAGAAAAACTAAGTTTTTTCTTCTTTGCAACTTCCTTGGCTTACAAGTTAAAACATGAGAAAAAACGGTTCCTATCTAAAACAGTACAACGAGCCAGACAACAACAACAACTATAAACCAAAAAAGAGGTTATGGCTTTTTTAAGGTTTGGAGAAAGGTAAAATCTCAAAAGTTGGAGTTGATGAAGAAGTTATTGACATGATGATCAACACTAAGCTGATTCAGCCATGAATCAGCAGCACTCTGAAGATAAAGCAACCGAGCCTGGTCAAACCATGTCTTTCCCCAAAAGACTACCTTGCATTTTGTTAGAAATTAAACCAAATGGGGGCAGTGGGATTCTCTTGTTCATAACAAAATCTTCACAACAATCTGTTCTTTCATTGCCTTTGCTATTCGTATCATCTCATTCCACCACATTATCTGTGCCTCTTGAAGCTATTACACAAAAAAAATAATGTTCTTGTTTTTGCATAACTAAGTACTGATGGGTGTCTCTATGGACATCTCTGTGGGTTTGTTAGTGTGGATTTGGATGGCAGATGGTAAAAAATGAAATATTTCATAATGGTTTTTCTAAGTGTTTAAATCGACTTGTGATCCAAAGCCATATGCATTAAACTCATCGTAACAGTCCCATAGATTACCAAGCCTGAAATACTTTATCTCCTGATTACCAAGCCTGAAATACTTTATCTCCTCCTTTCTCTGTTGATGCTACAAATCAAAAAGATTACTTAGAAAACTTTGCGAATATTACATAAATTTAATGTTTAGCTGATAATAAAATGTGATTACCACCTAATTTATCTTATACAGAACATCGATGAAGTTGTACATACCATTTCAAGAAACTTTTCTTCAACATGATCTTTAGTTTTGAGACCAACATGGCCTTAGTAATATTCATTAGTATTGTATAAAACTATTGATTAACATGCATTTAACAATGAAACTCTTTTTAATCAATAATCACAGACATGAAGCATGATTACCGAATAAGACAAACCTCTAGTGACAAGGATCCCAATGATGTTGTTCAAACCTAATCTAACGATAGTTAACTATTGGATTAGTGATTATAATATATTATTAACAAGAGCAATTCTGTCACACATAATATGTAATCCGAGCAAGCAATGTGACCATTAAAATTATTTCTGATGCTAAATTTCTGTAATGCACAAGTATTGTCCTTGTTGCCTATTTAATCTGGAAAAAAAATCATTAACAAATATCACAAGTTCTAAGTTGTATTTGTCTTATACATCATTGTTTAAAAGTTAAGACATGATGTTGATTAGAGACGAGATTTGAGGAAGAAAAACCAAAGAATAATAGTGTTTAGTATGATTAGCTGATGATTAAGACCTTAATTACTTTTAAATCCAGGATTTACAAGAAAAGAAGACATATTTCGAAAACTTCACGAGTTTTGAGAAGGAGAAAGACAATTCAAAATGGTTTTAAACTGATAAAATTGAGAACTAAGAGACTAATTATCTCCAAATCATGAGTGACTCCTCAAATTTACATTTTAGATTTGAATGGCTTTTTATTGAAGAACACTACCACCACATTCTTTTTGCTCTTTTTTTTTATTGTCTTAATTTCTTGTTTACAAATAAAATTTCACTATTAATTCAAATATCTTACATATGATTTTATTTCTTCTATTTCATTACTATTAGTATTTGGATTTTATATATATAGTAAAAAATACATAAATTAATTTTACATCTTTTGTTTATTTACAATATTAAATTACAAAATAGAAGTGTAAGATTCCAAAACGAAGCCTAAACTTTCAGTTGCATTTTCTAACAAATGGAAACGATTTAAAAGCATAATTTTGAGATTTAGAAGTGGGATCTCGAAAACTTTCAATTCTGAAAGATTTATTATATAAGAAACATTTTATCTTTTAATTAATATTATTTTGAGATCTTATTTGTTTTATTTTAGAATAAAATATTGTTTAACAGTATGTTAAAGCATTTTATATCTAGCTCTAATTAAATAGAGGATTGTAATATTCATCACACAAAATTGTGTATATTTATTGACAAAAGAAGTTTTGTTGGAATACAATCCAAGTTATATGGAATACAATACTGTCAAATAGTCTTGTTGATCTTTAGACTCTTAGTTGCAGACATTTATACACATAAATCTCAACAGATCAAGGAATAATCTTTAAGACGTTTAAGAGCCGCTTCGCTTGACCACGAGCTCTGACATTTTTGTTACGAGTAAATGGTGGAACCATTTGAAGCAGCTTTTGGTACTCTGTTGCATTAAGGTAACCATCCAACCTTAAAACCATCGTATCTACTGTCTTTGAGTTTTTCAGCACAAGTTTTATGAAGGAAACCACATCTTTTGACCTTGCTAGCTTAGTAACAACACCATGGGACGATGATGAATAGGTCTGCTCCGTCGTTGGAAAGTCCCCGTATTTCAATCTCCAGCATCGATCAGGATTCAAGCCTTGCGTACGCAAGTGTCTGTCCAGCTCCGCATCCTGAAGATAATAATAAAAAGAATGCTCAAGTAAACTATTAACTACAATATATCACAAAGGTGAAGCACATAATTGTCCCTACTCGTAAAGAGTAATTATCAAAGATTAAAAGAGTTTCTTTTGGTAAAAGATACCTCTATGCCTTTGTAATATATTGTGTTAACTGTTAACATCTGTAATCCAGGTGAGTTTTGTAGCAGTCTTGCTAAGCCAGGAATAACAGATCGAACAAGCATCATTCTCACAGTCAAAGATTTGGCCTGGAGTTGCGGAAAAGGAAGACCACGAAGCTCGGCAACAGATAGAACCTAACAAAAGAACACACAAAAATCATACAGAGACATAGAATGCCACTGGGAAAACTATTTTCCAGAACGACCTCATGCATGTTCATAAACGAATAAACCAATGTCTCTATGAAAAGGGCTTAGAAAAATGGAAAATAAACCTGAGGGACGATTTGTCCAATACTAAGCTTCTCAACGTTTTGCAGCTTCTCTAGCATCTTTAGCACCATGTCTTGATGAAAATCATCAACCTCTGTTATTCTTCCGATATGGCTTAGGCTGAATGTAGCATTGGTTAAAGAGGAGACATCTACTAACGTACTCGGTTCATGACACTCTATCAATTTCAAATAATGGATGTGTGGCGCTACAATCTTCAACGGTCCACCAAGGAATAGGCAAATAACCTCCAACCTTGTCAAATTCACTGACTTGCTGAGATCAAGATGATGAAGCTCTTCGCAGAAAAGCAATGACAGGCTTTCAAGCACTGGACAACCAGAGAGGATATTAGCTAGGGATTCATCGGGCAGAGCGCAGCATTCCAGAGTTAAGTTCCTTAACGATGTCCAAAGGACCGTACATTTAGGAATCATGTCGAGGTAACTGAAGTGGCCAATATGACCCAAACCCAAGGTGAGCTGCTTTACATAGGAATTGGTAAAGAAGAAATCTGGAAACACATTATTATCGGAACCGATTATGATGAGAGACATTATATCCGCGTGGCGGGACACAGCGAGCTCGATCCAGCTATGAACATGGGATGGAGTTAGAAGAGTAGAGTTATTAAAGGAAACATCGATATGGAAACTTGTGATTTTGGGAGACGTGAAGGTGGTTAGGGTTTTGCTTATCGAATTAGGATGATGAGAGATGTCGCTATTATGGAAGGAGAGAGTAGGGGTTTCGCACCATACGTGCTTCCATCGTTTGGACAAGGCGGAGGTTCTGATTGCGTACTTGGTCGGAATGTAGGAGAGGATGTGTTGGAGGATTGCGTCGGGTAATGAGCTGATGAAATCTGAACCGTTGTTTGAATAGGAGCCGTGGTTAGGGCTTCTTACGGCGCTGGAGATTCCGTCACTCTCCCTTTCCACGTCCCTCATGGCTTTATTTTTTATTTTATTTTTTCAAGAAATTTAGTGGGGGTTATATAACGCGAGAATGAAAAGTAAAAAAGGAATATCTGTTGATAAACAAAGAGTTAATTAGGCCATAATCTAAGAAGAACTAGGAAATTAAGAAAATGCTTTAGACAAAAATTATGTGGGCTTCGACTAAAGCAACTGGTGTAGAAGAGACCAAACTATCCTTTCTGAATTTAGACAACAAATTTGTATAGTTGGAAGATTAGTAACGATTAACTTAGCATATATCCCCCACAATTTTTTTGTTAGGGTGGCTAGAGAAATTACGGCCAATGAAAACTAATGTGTTCTGATACAAGTGTCTGCATGAGAAAATAATCAGATCTCTGTCATCAGACCATCAACAACGCAGAACCCAAATGGGGCTATTAGCACGGGGGGCCATTTTTTTTGTTAAAACCGATCACCAAGGTACCAAAACAATGATCGACTATTGTGGGTTTTTATGACTGTCATTTTTTATGACCACTTGCGGTCGGGCTCATAGTTGGAGCAAACATCTTGGTGGCTGGACCGTTCTCTGGTGCGTCAATGAATCCAGCTAGAGCCTTTGGTCCAGCATTGGTTGGATGGAGATGGGATGACCATTGGATCTATTGGGTTGGACCATTCATCGGTGGTGCTTTAGCTGCTCTTGTATATGAGTACATGGTCATACCTACTGAGTAACTGAGCCACCTACGCAGCATACCCACCACCAGCCCTTGGCTCCTGAAGATTACTAGATGGGACTTTGCTCTTGGTCTCGCTGCTTCTTGTCCTTGTTCAAGCTTTCTTTGTATGTGTGTGAAATCACTTTGCATAGAATCTTTGTTTTGATGCTACTCTTTGTTTGTTGTAATAATAAGAATAAAGAAAGATTTCACGATAAGATCTTTTGATATTATCATAGACTGATTCATCAAGAACATAGCAACATGGATGTCTCTGATTCTGTGTTCACTAACAGATGAGAGACAAGGTCGAACTGAATATCTGGCATACGTGTGAATCCAAAGCTGGTCTGATGGAGGCGGCTTCATGTGTACACGCGGTGTCCTTGAAGCGACGAGACTCATGTTTACAAATGGAGACAGTCTATCACCATGATCTAAGGTCGTGAAGCTGAAGCACTAGAGGCCAAATTAGGCAAGCCAAAAAGACATCAAATCTACCAAAAATAGGATTTTGTTTCTTAACGACATACAAGAAGACACAGATTTTTATATACTTCAGACACAAAAGTACAAAAACAGGGTCCTCTGTTCACAGATCCATTTAGAAAATCTAACAGAAAGAAAGAAGAAATAACCTTCATTTACATGGTCTCACTCATGAACACAACATTATTGTTTTCTCATCACAGTAACACCCAAAAAAAGGAAAAAAAAAAAGCTATGTTTTCTTCTTAGTAACTTCCTTGGTTTGCAAGTTAAAAGAGGAGAAAAGTTTGACCTTCGCGTTTACTATCTAAAACAGAACAACAAGCCAGACAACAGTAAAACAAAGAAATAGGTTATGGTTTTTTAATGTTTGGAGAAGGGGTAAGGTCTCAAAAGTTGGAGTTGAAGAAGAAATAGTCATGGTGATTGATCAACATTTAGCAGCTTCAGCCATGAATCAGCAGTGCTCTAGAGGTAAAGCAACCGAGCCTGGTCAAACACTGTATTCCCCAAAGTACCCCTTGCATTTTGTAGGTAACTAAAGCAAATGGAGGCAGTGGGATTCTCTTGTCCATAACAGAATCTTCACAATAATATGTTTCTTCCTTGCCTTTGTTGCTCGTATCATCTCCTTCCACCACATTATATGTGCCTCTCGAAGCCGTTACACAAAACATAAAGGGTTCTTGTTTTTGCATAACTAAGCAGTGATGGATCATACATACCTTGAAAAGAGGAAGATAGAGAATGGTAAGTTAAGAAGCATATCATCAAATCTTTCTCGTTCATGCAGGTTGGGATGTGATATATAGGATACCTACTTCATCAAACCATAACACTTGCCAATCCTTGTATTAACGGTTGCTTACTATCCGTGCAACAACCATCAAACTTGCAAGAGACATAACCACACTCCTTAAGGTTATCAGTCCATGATATTTCTCAGCCAGCTGATTTATCTGAAGAAGAACAAGTATGTTGTCTTTTCTTCACAAAGAAAAAAAGGAGTGTGGTTGGTTACTGTTATATTCGAGTCTACGATAGATTTTCAATTTAAAACCAATTGACAGTAAATGCATTGACATTTACACCTTTATATATTAAACCAAAATAAAGTGGATCTCGTACAATGCTAAATTTGAGTTTTATCATAGATTTTTATTTCAAAATCAATCGCCGATAAGTGAACTGATCTTACCTATTTATATAATTAATTAATTATTTTTCGAACTACCGATCCAAGAGTTTTCTTCATTCATTAACCGGTTAATAGATCAAACGAGAGAAGGGAACCAGCTATGGAGAATCTCTTTCAATGTACTTAAAGTCAAAGTAACCAAGTTTTATTTCACGGTGGCGATAGAGTACCACCATCTGGGTTTAAAACAAAATATTCAGAGACATCATTTCATGTTTTGGTTCAATCATTGCTCATAGATCTTGATAACAACGTAACATCTCGTTCTCACTACTTGTATACTCAACCATTGATCACGATTGCTCTATCACTCACTGCTCTCATACTCAACCACCTCATTATGGTTCTTGCGACACCAAACTTGTCCTAGATATCTAGAGACATGTTCAAAACACTTCAACCACACATATAACTGGTTGAAAATCAATCTAACCTGGATATCTCGGGGTTTGTTAGTGTAGATTTGGATGACAGATAGATAAGGTAAAAATAAATTATTGCATAATGGTTTCTCCACAATTTAAATCGACAAGTGATCCAAAATCATATGCATTATACCTTACCTTCTTCTTTCTTTGTTGATGCCACAAATGAAAAAAATCACATAAAATTTTGCAAATAGTACATAGATTCATTGTTTAGCTGATGTGAAAATGTGATTTACACCTAATTTATCTTATATGAAACAACGAATAATATGTACATATCATTTCAAGCAACTTTTCATCAACAAGATCTTTAGTTTTGAGACCAACATGGCATTAGTAATATTCATTAGTATTGTATAGAACAGCTGATTAACATGTATTTAACAATGACTTTTTTCTTAATCAATAATCATAGATATAAATCATGATTACCGAATAAGGCAAACTTCTAATGATGTGGATCTCAGTGATGCTGTTCAAACCAAATCTCAGGGTAGTTAACTATTAGATTAATGATTATAATATATTATTAACAAGAAAATTCTGTCACACATAATATGTAATTCAAGCAAGCAATGATGTGACCATTAAATGTTTTCTCATACTCAATTTTCTGTAATGCACAAGTATTGTCCTTGTTGCCAGTTTCATCCAGAAAAAATCATTAACAAATATCACAGTTTTATGTTGTATTTGTCTGATAAATCACCATTGATTAAAAGTTAAGATATGCTGTTGATTAGAGATTAGACCTAAGGGAGACAAACAAAACAATAATAATGTTTGATATGATTAGCTGATGATTAAGACCCTAATTACTTCTATATCCAGAATTTTCAAGAGAATAAAACACCTTTCGAAAACTTATTTTAGAGAAGAGTTTTGACAAAGAGAAAAACAATTCAACTCATTTTAGAGAAGAGTTTTGACAAAGAGAAAGACAATTCAAAATGGTTTTAAGATATAAAACTGAGAATTAAGAGCAGTTAATTATCTCCAAATCATGGATTTTGAAGAAGGAAAAAGAAAGAGATGTAAGAGCGACTCTTTAAAATTACATTTCTAAGTTGGAAGGAAACCATCTTTTGTTTAGTTGAAGAACACCACTACCACATTCTTTTTTGATCTTCTTCCTTTTCTTATCTCAATTATTGTTTACAAATAAAATTTCATTATGATTGTAATTAGTAATCATTAAAGGAATATGAGGAATAAAAAAGAAAGGAATGAAAAGGAATAAAACAAAAGGAAAATTCATTTCTCTTCTATTTTGATAAAGAATAATTGTAGTTTATAATTCCTTAAATGTTAAGGAATATTAAGGAACCATAAGGAATAAAATTTTTATTCCTTATAAATGGTAAAAATTGTAAAGAATAATAAGAAATTAACTATTAGCACTCATTCTCTTCGTCACCATTTAGAGCCTATTAGTTTAAATATTTTATGTCTTCTATTTTATTACTGTTAATATTTGGATTTTATATACATAATACGAAATAGAAAATTAACTTTACATTATGTATATTTACAATATAAAGTTACAAAAAAATAGAAGTGTAAGATTCCAAAGCGAAGGCTCAACTTTCAGTTACATATTAAAAAAAAAATGTAAACGATTTAGAAGCAGAATTCCTGAGTTTTGGAAGCGGGATCCCACAAACTTTCAATTCCGAAAGATTTAGTATATCAAATAAAATAACTTTTTATCTTTTAATTAATATTATTGAGAGATTTTATTGTTTTATTTCATTTTAGAATAAACCATAACAGTTTTTAAAGTATTTTTCTTAAGACTACTCATGTCTAGCTCTAATTAAATAGAGTATTGCAATATTCATCACACAAATTTGTTTATATTTATGGACAAAAGAAGTTTTGAAGATACGTCATTAATATAACCAAAATCAAAGTCATATGGAATACAACACTGTCTTCTTGTTCTTAGACTCTTAGTTGCAAATATTTATACACATAGATCTCAGACGGTTCACAGAATAATCTTTAAAACGTTAAAGAGCCGCTTCGCTTGACCACGAGTTCTGATATTTTTGTTGCGAGTAAATGTTGGAACCACACGAAGCAGCTTTTGGTACTCGGTTGCATTAAGGTAACCACCCAGCCATAAAACCATCGTATCTACTGTCTTTGAGTTTTGCAGCACAAGTTGTATGAAGGAAACCACATCTTAAGACTTTGCTGGCTTAGCAAGAACACCAAATGACGATGATGAAGAATAGATCTGCTCTGTCGCTGGAAAGTCCCCGTATTTAAATCTCCAGCATCGATCAGGATTTAAACCTTGCGTACGTAAGTGTCTGTCAAGCTCCGCATCCTGAAGATAGTAATAAAAAAAAAAAAGCTCAAGTAAACTATTAAAAGCAATTGTCCAATTCTACAATCACAACACACACACACACACACAAATAATTGTCCCTACTCGTAGTAAATAGTGTTATTATTAAAGATACAAAAGAGGTTCATGGGGTAAAAAGAAAGATACCCGTATGCCTTTGTAATAAACTGTGTTAACTGTTATCATCTGTAATCCAGGTGAGTTTTGTAGCAGCCTTGCTAAGCCAGGCATAACAGATCGAACAACCATCATTGTAACAGTCAAAGATTTAGCATGGAGTTGCGGAAAAGGAAGACCACGAAGCTCGGCAACAGATAGAACCTAAAACAAAATCATAGAATGGCACAGGTGAAACTATATTTCGAGACAGGTGTTGGTTCATAAACCAATGTCTGCAACCAAATTATAGGCTTAAGAGAAAGGTAGAACAAGAATCAATGATAAAGATACCTGAAGGAAGATTGGTGCAATAGTAAGCTTGTCTACGTTTTGCAACTTTTCTAGCAACTTTAGAACCATGTCTTGATGAAAATCATCATCATCATCCCTGGTGGTTGTTCTTCGGATATGGGTAAGGCTGAATGTAGCATGGGTTAAAGAGGAGACATCCAGTAAAGTACATTGTTCAAGAGACCCTATCAATTTCAAAAAACGGATGTGTGGGGCTACAATCTTGGATGGTCCGTAGAATTGCCCAGTTATCTCCAATCTTGTCAACTTGGGTGACTTGCTGAGATCAAGATGACGAAGCTGATGACAGTAAATCAACACCAGGCTTTCAAGCATTGGGCAACCAGAGAGGATATTAGCTAAGGATTCATCGGGCAGACTGAAACACTTCAGAGACAAGTTCCTTAACGATGTCCAAAGGACCGTACATTTAGGAATCATGTCGCAATTATTATACGTCCCACGACCCAAAGTCAAGCTGAGCTGATTTACAGAGGAATTGGTAAAGAACAAATCTGGTAACACATTAACGGAACCGATTATGATGAGAGACATTTTCTCGGCGTGGCGGGACACAGCGAGCTCGATCCAGCTATCGACATGGGATGAAGTTAGGGAAAAGTTATTAAAGGTAACATCCATATCGAAACTCACCATTTTGGGAGCCGTGAAGGTGGCTAGGGTTTTGCTTATGGAATTAGGATGATCCGGCAAGTGGCAGTGGAAGGAGAGAGAAGGGGTTTCGCGCCATACGTGCTTCCATCGTTTGGACAAGGCGGAGGTTCTGATTGCGTACTTTGTCCGAATGTAAGAGAGGATGTGATGGAGGATCTCGTCGGGTAGTGAGCTGATGATATCTGAAGCGTCGTTTGAACGGAACCGGTGGCTAGGGGTGGCGGAGATTCCGTCACTCTCCCTTTCTACCCTCATGGCCATTTCTTATTTTTTATTTCACAACTGAACTGATGACTAATTTTTCCAGAAATTTGGTGGGTTTTCACGAGAAAATTAAAAGAAAAAGACGAACATCTGTGTAAGTGTTTATACCAGACCGGTTACCGAACCGGAAAATTCTTTGGTCGGACTGGCTATTTTTTATAGACTGAACCCAATACGATTCTTTTTATACACATATTGATAAATATATATATCTATATATATATATATGAAAACCATTGAAACTATTAATTTGTTAATTAAATTTAAAAAGTTAAATGCGCAAGGTAAAATCCAAATTTGAATATCTATACTATTATTTAAGAAGTAAATTTGCTTAGTTGTCATGTTCTCCATAAGTTTAGGTGATTTTGTTTATTTATCATATTTTGTTTATTTATATATACTTTATTTATAAATAAAACAAATTTATATGAATATATCATATTTTTAGTAAATAAGATAATTCTTGTGAATTATGTTGTTATTTTGAAATATATTTCTATATATAAAGCTTAAATTTAAATTAAGATATAAACACTATTATATTTATCTAAAACAAATTTATATTAATAATTTAATATTTAAATATAACTAAAACGAATTTATATTAATAATTTAATATTTTCTAAAATAAGAGAATCATTATGGATTATGTTGTTATGTTGAAAATAAATTTTCCTATTCTAAAACTTAAAATTAAGATATATTTAGTTATGATTTAATTAAAATATTTTTAATTTTTATATCTAAAACTTAAATTATTTATTTAATTAAGATATATTTAATTTTTATATATAAAAATTAAATTTTAAATTAAGATATAAACACTGTTATATTTATCTAAAACGAATTTCTATTAATAATTTAATATTTTTTCTAAAATAAGATAATCATTATGGATTATGTTGTTGTGTGAAAATATATTTTCCTATTATAAAACTTAAAATTAAGATATATTTAGTTATGATTTATATTTAATTAAGATATATTTAATTTTTATATATAAAACTGAAATTTTAAATTAAGATATAAACACTATTATATTTATCTAAAACGAATTTATATTAATAATTTAATATTTAAATATAACTAAAACGAATTTTTATTAATAATTTAATATTTTTTTAAAATAAGATAATCATTATGGATTATGTTGTTATGTTGAAAATATATTTTTCTATTATAAAACTTAAAATTAAGATATAAAAACTATATTATTAATAATTAAATATAAATCATAATTAAATATAAATCATTAAAATAATTATTTGAGAAGTGAATTTGTTGATTTGTCTCCATGTTCCTAGGTAATTTTAATCATTTATCAGAATTTCTATAATTTTGTTTATTATGATTATCTAATTAAAACTAATTTATATTAATAAATATTTATACGAGAATTATGCCCGCAAGTGCGGGAAAAACACCTAGTTAAATTGTAAGAGTTAATGTATTTAACTAAACAAAATAATTAGTTGAGATAGAAAATGGGTAGCAAAAAAATCTGGTTATCAAAAAAGTTAGTGGAATTTAGTTAATTGATAACTATCGTGGGAACATCAAGAACAATTAAAAAAGGAATAGATGGAATAAAATTATAGGAATGAAGAGAAATAATTATTTCATATCAAATTTAATAAAGAACAATTTTGTTCAATAAATCTCTACAATAAAAGGAATGATGAAGAATAGAAAGGAAAAACTATTACTTATGAATGGTAATTTTTTCAGGAATGTATTGTTCATCCTTGTTCCTTTGGTCACCATTCGTAGAATTGTTTTTATGAATTTTCCCTAAGAATTATAAGGTTATACAATGTTCAAGACATCACACCTCCAGAGTCGAGACTCCAAAACCCATTTTTTACGAAAAGAGTATTGTATTATTTTTTTAAAAAAATAAAAGGGTTAAATCCGAGTCTATTAAAGACACAGACCTAACTTCCGGGTGGAGGTATAGTCTATGGATAAATCCTCTCTTAGGCATTTAAATGGGTCAAAAACAATAACTTATATCCATGTGGCCAGTGGGGCATTCAAATTGGTCGAAAACAATAACCCATATCCGGTTAAGAGTATTGTATTTTGAAGTGAAGAAAATCACTCAAATCTGAACAATTTTGATACCAAATATCTTTTAGTCACGACACTAACCAACTGTTCATGACGTCTAAGCAGTGCCGTACGTGCCTTATAAGAAAATAAACTTTCGCTTTGGGCATCACTTTTTCATAAGGATCAAAACAAGCTTTTAGTTATGTCACAATATGCAATATTGGCCATGGTTAAGCATCATACTATTATCTTTTTATATACTGTTGTATTTAACATTACAAGAAAACTAAGCCATTACTAGGAAAATTTACTAGGAAAACATTTCCTCGTAAAAATACTACTAGTTTACTTCGACTTTACGAGGAAACATCTTTTCCTCGTAAGGTTCTCGTAAACTTACGAGAAAAGCGTTTCCTCGTAAAGTGGAAGTAAATTTACGAGGCTCTTACGAGGAAAATATTATTTTCCTCGTAAA